CTACATAAGACCTTTCTGTCTTATTTTTGCAACTTCTTATGAATCTAATTATTTAAAATGAAAAGTTTTTTTTTTTTTTAAGATTTTATTTATTTATTTGACAGAGAGAGAGAGAGAGAGATAGCGAGAGCAGGAACACAAGCCGGGGGAGTGGGAGAGGGAGAAGCAGACTCCTCGCCGAGCAGGGAGCCCAATGTGGGGCTCAATCCCAGGACCCCGGGATCATGACCTGAGCCGAAGGCAGATGCTTCACGACTGAGCCACTCAGGCGCCCCTAAATGCTGCATTCTTAAGCTTCTTCTAATGCATCTTCTTTAACCACCACAACAGCCCCATGGAGTAGGTTCTCTTATTATCTCTGTTTTACAAATGACAAAACTGAGACTGAGAGAAGTTGAGTAACTTTTCCAAGATCATCATGCTATTAAGTGATGAAGCTAGGAATTGAGCCGTATGGTCCAAGTTCTAAGCCTGGGACTTTTTTTTTTTTTTTTTAAAGATTTTATTTATTTTTTTGACAGAGAGAGACACAGCGAGAGAGGGAACACAAGCAGGGGGAGTGGGAGAGGGAGATGCAGGCTTCCTGCTGAGCAGGGAGCCCGATGTGGGGCTCGATCCCAGGACCCTGGGATCATGACCTGAGCCGAAGGCAGACGCTTAACGACTGAGCCACCCAGGCGCCCCTGATTTCTGTTTATTTACTCTTAAAACTGCCTCAGTCTATTCTTTCCCTTCCCCTCTGATGTCCTTTGCACCATTACTTCCTTAGTAGGAAGCTTTGGTGGGTCGCGGCTGAGGGTTAAGGTGCTGCGTGAAGGAGCAGATCTGAAGGACAGGCTCCGATCTTCTGCTTCCTTTTCTCTGTGACCTAAACTCTCTGTCTGATGATCGCGAGTGTTGCAGAATTGTCATTAGGATTGAGAGCTTAGTGTAATTTGAAATGCAGAGCATGTAGCATGTGCTGGTTATGGTCATGTGTGTATTGGGGGGGGCGGTGTCTCAAACTGCCGCACACTTTGCTCCCCAGCCTGACAGAGGGCAGAGTTTCTGGAGAGAATGTAACTCGTGTGTCATTTCTTCACTCTCAGTTTTATAAGAAGACCAAACAGTTGCCTGTCTTGGTGAAATGCTGTGAAGAGATCCAGCCCCATCAGTGGAAGCCACCTGTCGAGAGGGAAGAGCACCGGCTTCCATTCTGGTTAAAGGTACAGCTTTCCTCCTCGAAGTGTGTCGGAGGCAGAAGGACACCAAGCCCTGGCAGAGATGCCAGGGGTGACTTTACACTCCTGGTGGAGCTGTAGCTCAGGGACGGGCTCAGCGGATCTTCCTTCTTCCCCCCTCCTCTCCTGCTGCTTCCCCTTTCCCCCACGTGACTCTGCCACCTCTGAAAAATAGTGGGTAAAATGATACGGCGTTTCTAGAGCATGTAATTAGGGTGTAGTCTTTAGAAATTGGATATCCTTCAAGAAAATTCCTTGAAAAGATTTTTTGAGACTGTCGTGGAAAGGCCCCTAAAATCTCGGAAGCCCCGTTCTTTTCTCCAGGTTCTGACATGTGCTGGATCAGTGTGTTCTTGTTCTCTAGGCCAGTCTGCCTTCCATCCAGGAGGAACTGTGGCGCATAGCGGACGGTGCCAGAGGGGTAGGAAGTGTGACTGGACCTGCTGAGGGCAGCTCAGAGCCAGGCCTGGGAAAAGGCAGCTCGGAATTGGGGAGTGAAACTCTGTACCCACTGCTGTTGCCCAAGGGTGTAGTCCTGAAACTGAAGCCAGTGGCCAACTGTTTTTCCAGGAAGGCCTGGAGACAGAAGCGGCCATCAGTCCTGAAGCCCCTGCTAATCAGACCGAGCCCCTCTCTCCAGCCCAGCTCCACCTCTGGGAAAACACCAGCTAGGTCAACTCTGTCCGAAGCCCCTCCGAGCAAAATGGTGGTCCGGATTCCTCACGTGATCCAGCCAGCCACTGTCTTACAGACGGTGCCCGGTGTCCCTCCACTGGGGGTCACGGCGGGGGAGAGTTTGGAGTCTCCGGCAGCACTGCCTCCCACGCCCCCTGAGGCCAGGACCAGCTTCCCTCTGTCTGAGCCCCAGACCCTGCTCTCCTCTGCCCCTGTGCCCAAGGTAATGCTGCCCTCACTTGCCCCTTCTAAGTTTCGAAAGCCGTGTGCAAAGCCAAGAGCCTCCAAGAGAAGGGGGGCCAAGGCCTCTCTGTGTCTGGAGCCAGCCTCCCTCCTCCACCCGGTCCCGGTTATCTTCACTGTGCCCGCCACCACGGTGAAGGTCGTCAGCCTTGGCAGTGGCTGCAACGTGATCCAGCCCGTCAACGCAGCCGTGGCCCAGACTCCTCAGACCATCCCCATCACCACCCTCTTGGTTAACCCCACTTCCTTCCCCTGCCCGTTGAACCAGCCCCTTGTGGCCTCCTCTATCCCACCCCTGATTGTTTCCAGCAACTCTGTGAGTCTTCCTGTTCCCTCCACCCCCGAAGATAAGGCCCAAGTGAATGTGGACATTGGTTGTCCTTTGGTTGAAGGGAAAAATGCCTTTCAAGGCCTAGAACCCAAATTAGAGCCCCAGGAACTATCTCCTCTCTGTGCTCCTGTCTTCCCCAAAGAGGAGCACAGCCCAGGGCCCCCAGCAGCAGATCATGTGTGCCAGGAAGAGCAGCCAGAACACAGTGCCTGTGGCTGGACTCTGGTGAAGGCCGAGGATGGGAGGCAGGCTCTGGAGCCACTGCCTCCAGGGGACTTGCAGGAAATGGTCAAGATGGAACCTCAGGACCCCGGGGAGGATGACTCCAGTGGGTCCCCAGAGCAGGACACCTGTGAGGACAGCAGAGAGGAACGTTCTGTGGGATTGGATGCTGGCTTCCCAGGTGAGGAGCCGAGTGGTCCTAGTGAGCTAAGGAGACAGTCAGCCTTCCAGCAGGAGGACGACAGAAGTGAGCCAGCTAGAACCTCGTCAGCTTCTCGGGAACCTCGGGATGAGGGAGACTCCGGAGATGTGAGCAGAGGATCTCCCAAGATGGCTTCTTCCTGCGCCGACCCTGAAGTGCGCAGCAGCCCCCCAGGCAAGTCTGAGGACCTGGCCAGCGCCGTCGGCCAGGCGCTGGGGACCCCAGCTGGGCCGGAAGCTGGGGGCGAGAAGGACGGGCCAGAGGAGGAGGAAGAGGAGGACTTTGACGACCTGACCCAAGATGAGGAGGATGAGATGTCCTCAGCCTCTGAGGAGTCTGTGCTCTCGGTCCCAGAGCTCCAGGTGAGAGCTGAGGAATATTCTCAGGTGTTCTGTGGCCTCAGTAATTTGCTTGATTTGTTGACAGGCCACCTGCTTGCTTGCTGCACTTAGTCCTCCTGTCATTTTTTTTTTTAAGATTTTATTTATTTATTTGAGAGAGACAGCATGAGAAGGGGGAGGGGTCAGAGGGAGAAGCAGACTCCCCGCCGAGCTGGGAGCCCGATGTGGGACTCGATCCCGGGACTCCAGGATCATGACCTGAGCTGAAGGCGGTCGCTCAACCAACTGATCCACCCAGGCGCCCTCCTCCTGTCATTTTTATTTGACTTTTGAATACCGTGTGGGACAGTTTTGGGGGCGGGGGGTTGAGGCGAGAGGGGAGGAAGAGGTGAACTTTTAGTTGGGTGTTATGTGTGACTCAGTCACTAAAATGTTAGATTGAATCACCTGTGCGCAATTTAAATGCCTAAACATGTAGATCGTTAAGTGTGGATCCCAGCAAAGGAAAACTGTCTTCCCGGTAGAAAGCGACCTTTCAAAACGCCTCTTCCCCCACCTGCTGCTGGGCTGGCAGCCCAGCTCTCCCTGCGCTGGTGGCCTGTGGGGAGCCGGCGCCAGCCCTGCGGACGCTCTCGGGGGCTTTGCAGGAAACAATGGAGAAACTGACCTGGCTGGCCTCTGAGAGGCGTGCGGGCCAGGAGGGCGAGTCCGAGGAGGAGAACTCCCAGGAGGAGAACTCTGAGCCTGAAGAAGAGGAGGAAGAAGAGGCAGAAGGAATGGAGAGCCTGCAGAAGGAGGACGAAATGACAGACGAAGCTATTGGAGACCCTGCTGAGAAGCCGCCGGCCACCTCCGCGTCGCCCAGGACTGCTCCGGAAGCGGAGGCTGGCAGCGCCCCGCCGGGTGAGTGGTGAGCCTGGTGTGCGGGGCGGGTCTCAGCCGGCCTCCTCTCTAAGTGCTGTGCCGAACGGCTGGTCCGAAAACCAGGTGTGAGATCGTAGCGGACGTCCTCTGGGCCGCCCCCCCCGCACGCTGCCCTCCCCCAGACATGTTTGCCTGGAGCCTTTGCGGAGGAGCGTGCTCAGACGTTTCAGATGTGACTCCTACCGGCCGCTAGGCTTGCGTTAGGTTCACGCAAGCTTTTAACGCTGGTTCTCAATCCGTCTGTCACGCGTGCGGCTAAGAGCTACGTTTATTTGCGGTTCCTCCCCAAGACCCAGTGCGTGAGAGCCCACCGTGAGCCCGTGCCCCCGCTCAGGACTCCTGCTGGCTGCGTGCCGCAGCCGAGGGCCTTCTCTCATCCCGGGGGTGGGACTGTGGCATCGCTACGGGGACTGCCCTGCCACGCCATCGTGCCTTCCTGCCACGTTCCCGCCAGCTTCTCCCGAGGCCGTCCCGGACAGCCAGCGGGATTTGGGTGGGCTGGGTGCGTGTGGCCGAAGGGAGGAGTGGGGTTGTGGGGCCCGACAACCATCTTCCTCGCGTGTTTTCCCAGGAGAGAGTGGCCGAGCTGCTGGGAAGGGCCGGGGCAGTCAGCGAGCTCGCAGCAAGCGGGGAAGCCGGGCCCGGGCCAGCAAGGACACGTCCAAGCTGCTGCTGCTGTATGACGAGGACATTCTCGAGCGGGACCCCCTCAGGGAGCAGAAGGATTTGGCCTTTGCTCAGGCTTACCTGACCAGGGTAGGCAGGGACTGCTTCCCGCTACTGCCCGTCCCCCCAAATGCGGCCACTTCTCCTTCCAGGGACTGGTGTTGAAAACAGTCTGATTTTCAGGCCGCACGGCTGCCTCGTGTGCCTCTGCCTTTGCTCTCTCCTGGAATTGCCCTCAGATCTGAGAGAGAGAGACAGGACCCAGGCTTCCTCGTCCACGGCTTGTTGTGAATCCCTGAGCATCACCCCTCTGTTGTTCAGAAAGCGGGGAAAGGTGGCGCCACCATCATCAGTGAGAGGGGTGACTTCGCTGGGTTGGCTAAAGCGGGCCTTTCCCGAGCCCTCGGCAGGAGAAGAAAGACCGTTGGTGCACTGGCCAGAGAGTGGACTCCGGGAAGTGCCCTGGTCTTCGGAGAGCTGACCCCACTGTGCCTGGCAGCTGCCCTTGGCATGCAGCCGTCTGGTTCCTTTATGCCCCCGGCGGTTCAGCCTGCCAGCAGTGACGGCCACGCCTTCTGGTCTGCTGACAGTTGACGGTGTTCCTGATGTACGCGCTGTGGGCCCGCGGTACCCCGCGCAACTGCGTGTGCAGAGCACTCCTTGTCTGTCTCAGTGCGGGGCTGAGATCAGGAGGGAGAGGCTAGGGCCGTGGGCTGGAGACACGCTCGCTTGGTTTGGTAGGGAGGGCTGTGGCCCCTGGAGAACGAAGGCGTGTCAGAGGCCGGCCAGCAGGGGAGGGGCGGTGGTGCCTGACTCACTGCTCCGTGTCTTCCGTGAGCAGATCTCAGGAGCTGCGGGAGGGGTAGCCTCCGCAGGGTGGTTCTGGGGTCGGTGTGGGGACTCCTCCTCCTCAATCCGTACGGCTCTTTCCTGTCCTGACGGCGGAACGTCTTCCCGCGTAGGTACGAGAGGCGCTGCAGCACATCCCTGGCAAGTATGAGGACTTCCTGCAGGTCATCTATGAGTTCGAGTCCAGCACTCAGAGGCAGACAGCTGTGGATCTCTACAGAAGCCTGCAGGTTCTGCTCCAGGACTGGCCTCAGCTGCTCAAGGATTTCGCTGCCTTCCTGCTGCCCGAGCAGGCTCTGGCCTGCGGATTAGTGAGTGGACGCGTGAACGCCACACCTGGGGCGCTGCTGGGTCCGGGGACAGGGGACCTGAGTAGAACTGGTTAACACCACCCTCGTCTCTCAGCGACTCCCGGTCAGACGGCCCTGCCTTGGCCCAGGGTGATCAGCGCCCCCTTGTTTCAAGGGGTGGTCTTCCCAACCCCTCTTCTCCCATTTTCTTTGTACGTGCAATGAGGGGTTGTACCCTCGGTCGCCAGTGAAGACCGTGGGTGAATCACGCACCCTTTGCTCCTCCCTGTTGTAAAACAGGTGTGTCCGTTCCAGCAGATACTTACTGTGTGTGTCTAGTGCATCGTCAGGCAGGGTTCCCGGTCCTAGGAATATAGTAATTACAAAAGAACGATGTCCTTGTTCTCATGGAGCGTCCATTCTCTTGGGGAAGGTCAGGTGATAAATAGTAAAATATATATATAGTGAATGTACGTAAGGATCACACAGTACATATGAACAGTAAAACGTACATAACGGGGGCTAGAGAGCCGCAGGGGGCATGGGCGGGGGCGGGGCCTTGCAGTTCTGTTTCGCACACGGTGCTCGGGGATGGCCACTGCAGAAGGTGACATTCGAAACGTTGGCCAGTAAGGGTCTACACGCGAGGGATGTCTCATGAGCTCAGGAGGGGGAGACACGGAATGAAGGGTGGAGTGCGCTCTTCTGGTCGGCTTGAGGCAGTCCCGTGGTCCCGGGGCGGGGGGGTCGCACACCTGCACGTGCTCTCTCCCCGTGTGGGGAGCAGCATGGGTGCGAGCGCTCTGTAGACGGTGACGAGCTGCGGCGTCTGATGTCACAGCCCGTGAGACAGCCAGCAGCTTGACATTCGCACATCTCCGGACGCTTGCCGTCCCGTCCTAGGAGTCTTGGGTTGGTCGCCTTTGCAGCCCAAGGTGCATAGATGCCAGGGTCTGAGGCACCATGTGGCGGCTGTAAACGGGCTCCCCGTCGCCCCCGCTTCCCAGCCCAACGCTCTTGTTCCGTGGGCGTAGCGCCCTCCGGTCCGCACTCGCTGTGCACGTGACACTCTTGCTTTCTTTCCACTGGGGTAGTTTGAGGAACAGCAGGCGTTTGAGAAGAGCCGCAAGTTTCTTCGGCAGCTGGAGATTTGCTTTGCAGAGAACCCCTCGCACCACCAGAAGATCATCAAGGTCCTCCAGAGCTGTGCGGACTGCCTGCCCCAGGAGATCACGGAGGTGCTCTTTCCTGTCCTGCTGGCATCTGTGCCCGTTCTCTTGCTTCTGGGGTACCTTGGACTTCCGGAGGGGATGAAGAAGGCGAGGACTTTTTTCGGCTTTCCTGAAGCATAAACCCCTGGAACAGGGGGTGCTTGTCCCCTGAAACCAGAGCCTGACTGAACTCAAAGGCTCAGGGTTGCCATCAGTGCCTGGAAGGGAAGTTCAGGGAAGGAGGTGATGGGGCCTGGGGGGGACTTGTCTCCTCGCTGTGCTCGGGTTGCTGCCGGGGCTGGAGATCAGGAGGCCAGGGTGCAGAGTGTGGTCATCAGGAATCAAACATATTATTAATTCCCCTTCAGTGTAGGCACGCGAGCAGGTAGGGGACGCTGAAGAAGTCTTAGCGGTCCAGGAGAGGCTTCCGGCTGTCCCTCAGGAGACTAGGAGGGTAGACCTTGGGGGCGAATGGGACTGGTTTGGGACGGCAGCCTGGAGAGGCCCTGGACACTTCATCCTTCCCCCGACCACTCTCCCCAGCTCAAGACGCAGATGTGGCAGCTTCTGAAGGGCCATGACCACCTGCAGGACGAGTTCTCAGTCTTCTTTGATCACCTGCGCCCAGCAGCCAGCCGGATGGGGGACTTTGAAGAGATCAACTGGACCGAGGAGAAGGAGTACGAGGTACCGGCCCCGAGGCTGCAGTGGGCTTGGGAAGGGGGAAGGCCACGCGTCGGAGGGGTGCCTGCCCAGGGTCTGCGCTGAGGGGCCCCTGCTCCTCCCCAGTTTGACGGCTTTGAAGAAGTGGCACTGCCCGATGTGGAGGAGGAAGAGGAGCCTCCCAAGATACCCACGGCCTCCAAGAGCAAAAGAAGAAAAGAGATTGGGGTCCAAAATCATGACAAGGTACCCCAGGTTGTAGGGTGTCACCTGCTTGCCATAAACCAGGCCTTGAGTTTTCTGCGTTTCTCTGGCTGGTGCGGTGCGTGGCCTCTGGGGCCCCAGGCAGTCGGGTCAGGCTGCAGAGCCCACCGGGGGGCAGGGGGGAGCTGCCGAGGAGGCTCCCCCACAGCTGCCCCATTACAACGATGTTTCCCCCTCGGCTCTCTGGCTTGGAGTGGTTTCTCTTGCCCTTGGGTCTTGATTCCTTCCTTTCTGTTAGCATGAAGAGGTAGAACCGAGCATCCCCACTTAGCAATATCGGTAACAGCTGATAGTCAGCTGTGTGACAATAGGTGTGTACCTCTCGGAGGTGTTGTACCCGGATCGTTCCCTCACTTCCTTCCACGGCAGGGCCACGAACAGATGGCTCTTGTTTGCATTTGACCGAAGAGGAAAGGGACGTGCAGCGCAAGGCCGGGGCCGGGGCCTCATGTCTCCTACGTGGCAGCGCTGGGGTGCGGACCCCAGCGGTCTGGAGTCTGCTCAGACCCACTGCCCTCCGCTGCTCACCCAGGAGGAGTCTGTTTTCCTCTTTTCTTCTTCCTTCGGCAAAACTGCTTCTTAGCAGCGGGATGACCTAGGGCAACTTACTGAATCTGTGCCAGCCTCGTCGTCGTTCGTGGGGGTAGTAACGGTCCTGGCACCTGGGGTCCCTGAACAGAGAGTGTCCCTGAGAGGGCCTCCCCGTGCACAAAGCAAGCCCCCCGCCCCAAAGGGGTCGGCGGAGGGGGCAGAGCCCCGGGTACAGGGACGCGGGAGCCAAGGTGGTCGGTCATCCCAGGACTTTGCCTCCAATTGTATCTGACTTCAGTATTGAAATATCCGGGCAGCTGGGCTAGGTCAGTCCTCCGGGTCGCTGCAGGATCGTGGCAGGGAACGCCGGCGGGCTGGGGAAGAGCTGCAGTGCCGCCACGCATGCTGGGTGCTGGTCGGGGCGGCTTGCTCGGGTGGCCTGCAGCCCGTGTGCTCTCTGGGCGCCGCGCATGCTAGCCGGCCGCTAACCAAGCCCAGTGTCTCCTAGGAGGCTGAGTGGCCAGACGGAGCCAAGGACTGTGCCTGCTGCTGCCATGAAGGAGGCCCTGACTCCAGGCTGAAGAAGAGCAAGAGAAGAAGCTGCGGCCGCTGTGGCAGCAGGGTGAGCGGGGGCGGGGGGCGGGCACGGGGGCCGGGCCCGGGGCTGCCTCCCGGCGCTGGGCCGGCTGCTATCCCCGTCACGCAGTGAGTGTGTGTGCGCCGGACAAACAGAATCCTGGACAAGTATGTGATGGATTCTGCTTTTTAAAGATAATCCTGTGGGTAAGGAAGGCTTTTGAAATTGGAACAAAATGAACCACTTCAAATATTTCTCAGATTTTTTTTTTCTTTCTTATGGAATACACAGACCCTAAAAGTAATGCCAGTTCTCTAGGGTAGGGTTGGTTGGCAGCAAAAAGAGAGTCCTTGGTTCGAGGAGTGGGAGAAGCGGACTTTAAAACTGTCAGTTGACCTGCTGAACATCGTGGCCGGGCTGCTTCCCGTGCTCAGGCCCCTAAAACAAAGGCTGTGTGAGGACACGCTTGACCAAGAAGGCTGTTCCCTGCAGGTCTGTGACAGCAAGTCCTACAAGAGCAAGGAGCCCCAGGAGTTGGCGGGCAGCAGTCCCCACCGGGAGGCCAGCCCTGGGCCCGGTGCTAAGGAAGCCGGGCAGGGCAAGGACCTGCAGGAGGAGGAGGCCCCCGAGGAGCGAGAGAGCACGGAGGCAGCCCAGGACCAGCCTGGCAGGAGTGCTGGAAGCGGAGGGACGCCTCTTCCCGGTGAGCCCCGCCTCTGTCCCTGTTCCCACCTCATTCTAACGTGCTTCAGGCAAGAACGTCTTCGAGCCAACGTGCTGCCCACTAGATTACTCAAGTAACAGGAGATCCTCTGTCCGGCCTTAGCTTTGCTGTGGCCTCTGCCCCCTGGCAGAATTGGGAGTGCTACCACCCGCATGATGCGCACTCTCTCCCCCTGCCCTCCTGACCCCCGTGATCTGCACCCCGAAGACTCGTATAAGCGACTTCAGGCCCCACCCTCGCCTCAGTCTTTGAGGTTGGGGCTCTGTCAACAGTAATCAACCTGCATGGCCCTGCGGTAACTCGGGGTTCTAGGTGCATCTTGACCCTGTCTGTACCCTCAGATCTTCACTTTTCTCCTAAGCAGGACTGGCAGTGGGGAGCACTGTGCTCTCCCCTCAGGAAGTGACTCTTACAGACCAGCTCGTCCTGGATGACCCACGGCCCTGCTCGCCGGAGACCCCTCACCTTCCCTCCAGTACTGGGGCCATGCTCTGCACTGGGAGGAGAAGCCAGGCTGGGCAGGAGGTCCTCTCCTGCCCTCAGGCATCCCCCAGACTTCGGAAGGAGAGGGAGGACCAGAAGGCAGTGGGTGAGCCAGAGGCTTCCGTGCCTGCCTGGGAGGCTTCGGAAACAGAGAAATGGCCTGGAACTGTTGAGCCCCCTGCTTCCTTCCTGAGTCCCGTTTCCTCAAGGACCAGAGACGTGGGGAGAAGACAGGTGTCTGAGAGATCAGATACTCCAGAGAGCTGGTTGCTGGCAGGCAGAACTGCAGTGAAGACAGGAAACAGGATGTCCCCTGTCCGTGAATCTCCTTCATCAGGAATTGACACCTCAGAGACTTCTTCCAAAGCCCCTAGGGCAGGTCTGGCTAAGGACAGTGGAAGCCAGGGCAAGGGTCCAGCGGGAGAGCCGCACCCGAAGGCCACAGAAGCGACAGTCTGTGCCAACAACAGCAAGGTCAGCTCCACTGGGGAGAAGGTGGTCCTGTGGACAAGGTAGGTAGGGGTGGAGGACGTGTGTGTGTAAAATTCGTGGAACACATCCACGTTCCTAATCTGGGACTAATCGTGATACGTGGTTTCCAGGGAAGCTGACCGCGTGATTCTCACCATGTGCCAGGAGCGAGGAGCACAGCCACAGACGTTCAGCAGCATCTCCCAGCAGCTGGGAAATAAGACCCCCGCCGAGGTAAGTGGCTTCAGCCCTGCTAGAACGTCAAGCCCCAGGGAAACCGAGGAAGGGACGGGGTGGCCAACCGAGAGACAAGCCCCAAGGGCCCAGAGGAGGGGCTTGACTCATCAGGGCACATGGCAGTGGTTCTAGAAGAGAAAGGGCACTGGATTTTGAGGTAGAATCCCAGAGATTCCGTTCTGGTTTGTTTTTAGGGCCAAACCTGAAGCCTCTTGAGTTCCCTTATCTGTGGAGGGCGCAGCCCTCTACACCTTACTGTGTGGCGCAGACGAGATTGTTCCCATCAGCGTGCGTGCTCAGCGTATGTGCGAACTGCACCTTCTTGCCCTAGGTTTCCCACCGTTTCCGAGAACTCGTGCAGCTCTTCCACACGGCCTGCGAGGCCAGCTCCGAGGAGGAGGAGGACGCCACCAGTACGAGCAACACAGACCAGCTGTCAGACCGCGGGGACCTCCTGTCTGAGGAGGAGACGGACGGGTGACTGGGCACGCACGCCTGTCGTCTGCACCGCCGGCCCCCGCCGGCCCCCCGAGGGAGGGTGCTTGTACTGTGCAGGGGTGCCCCTGAGCTTGGGACACAGAGCCGCAGGGGCTGAGGACAAGGACAGAGGCAGACCGGGGGCTGGACAGCCGTGCCCGCGCAGGCGTCGCTCAAGGTCTTGGGAAGCTACGTGTGCTCGGCCTGGGGGGGGAGGGGCTCAGCTCCTTTGTTCCCCTTGGTCCCACGGCGCGTATTTATTGAGACCTGATCGCGGCATTTCTAAATGCAGCACATTCCGTGCTGGTGTAGGCAGTCCCAGAACACGGAGTCCTGCACCCATGGTGTTTATTGTAAAGCAGCGCTTTCCTTTGCTCGGAACACCTTAGTCCGCGAGGCCATCGCCACCCTGGTAGCACTGGGCCAGACTGCCCAGCTCCTGCAGCGCCTCCTCCACGTCCCCCTGCTCCACCCCGGCGTCCATGAAGCTGGCCCAGCGCCGCACGTCCAGTTTGCCGAGCTCTCTAGCCAAGTCTCCCAGGGCCCGGCCCGAGGTGGAAGAGGAGCAGAGGGCCCCAAGCACTGGGATGCTCTCCACGGCTGTGGGGGGACAGAAAGGGGAGCCTGCCCTGGGCTCTGCTGCCGACAGGGAAGTCTGGGTCTGCGGCAGACCTGGCAGGGGCGTGAACCCCGTGAATCCTGAGCGCTGCCCCCTTGGTGGACCAGTTCCCCAGAGGAGGCCACTCCCCTCAGTGGCTGCAGTGGCCTCAGTGAATAAAGGGACGTTTACCTGTGGACCTCCGTGCCTCCCTCTGGTCACACATACAGTGCGAGCTCTCGTGTCCCTTCGCCACCCACGTACCTGCCCCCAGTGGCGGGCCATCCAGAAGCAAACCGTGCCGGCTGAGGCTTGGGGAGAAGAGGCAGGGGTACGGAGGAACCACCTTGCAGGGCGCCAGCAGCAGGTGGGCGGAGCTGGGGGGTGAGAGCACAGCTGAGCGAGAAGAAGGTGAGCAAAGTCGGGCGTGGGCGGGGAGAGCCGGCCTCCCACTGACCTCCTGCCTCCAGGCTGCTCCTGCTGCAGATACCGGGCCAAGACGTCTTCCCCAGTGTCGCACGCGTGGAGCGGTGAAGGCAGACGTGTCCCTGGGGCGAGCCGGCTGCCGGAACAAAGCCAAAACCACCTTTAGTCTGCGGCAGTGTGGATATGGAGCTGGGAAGTCTTGGGTTCTCAGGCCATCAGCTGAAGCGGGGTGCGGAGGGTCTCTCTCTCTCTCTCTCTCTCTCTCTCAACGTGGGGCAAAGGGAGGAAGAGGCAGTGCTCTGCGGATGCCCAGAATTGTTACGGAGAAAAGGATGTGAGTCAGAAGTCTGACAAGGGCTCCTAAGAACCACCCGTCCTCACCTGGTGTGGCATGCTTTGTCTAGACCCCTCAGCACCACTGACTGGGCAAAGCGTGTTCCAGAAGGAGCCCCACATGCAGACAGTGGGGTCCACGCCGTGGCTCCTCCAAGCTGCACCAGGGCATCAGGAAGGGACTGGCCTGGGACCAAGGGGAAAGGGATGGTTGCTGCTGCCGTCACCACCTAAAGGGAAGGGAGACATCACGTAACTGAGCTTTTTCTCAGCGCTGACCCGACCCTTCACAAAGCTCCACACCTTTTTCCCAGAGGAGTTCAGCATGTCAGCCAGATGAACCATGGAAACCGGTGAGGAACGTAGGCGGTAAGGAACAGTGACTGTATCCAGGGCTGTCGCCAGGATGGCAGCACAGTGGAAGGGCAGAGTGGCCTGTAAAGAGGGTATCAACAAGGGCCCTTAGCGTTTCAGGTCTGGAGGGCAGAGCGTGAAGGCAGAAAGATTCCTAGCGGCAGAGAGGTCCGGGTGCTTTGGGACAAAGCAGGGTTGTGCTTGTATCGTGCACAGTGTGCTGTATCGTGGCTGAGTTCAAGCAGAGGCTTCGCGAAGAGAGCTGGTGGCAGAGGTGCGATGGCAGGTCAGGATGGTGGCGGGAGGGCACTGCTCTACCTGCCATGTGAACAAGAGCTTGAGCCTTACGTCATACTGTAGGTGAGGGAAGGTGACCGGAGGCTCAGGTCGCAGTCCCAGGCTCCCGCCCAAGGACAAGGGGCAGACCAGAGAGCTGTGAGCAGACATTTGCACCAGGCCAAAAGCTGTGTTCAGCAGACGATAGATGTTTTTCTGGGGCTCCTGGGGAAAAAAAGGGTAATTGGTTTTAAGCACCTTTCTCCCTGGGCTGTCATCCCCTCATTTTTCCCTCCCTGCCCCTGGGACTGCCTTTTCCCCAGGTTCTGCTCACCCCAAGACTGTAGGGACCAGGGAGCAGGCCCCAGGTTATTATTCCCCGCCCTGAATACTCGTCCTGTAGCAACTCTGTGGCCTTCGCGCCTACCCCGGAGAAGCCATTGTGCAGGTCACACAGGATCTGGAAACCCTGGAAGGAGGCAAATAATGACAGACAGGACGAGACAAGGCTTCTGCCCGTGCCCCCCACGCCCTCCGGCTACCTGCAGGTAGTCACATTCCTCCATGTAGAAATGCAGTCTATCCTCCAGCTCTTCCAGGTACCTGGGCTCCTTCAGGACACTCTCGCCTTGGCCAAAAGCCTCTAGGCGGCCTGCTTCCCTGCCATGCATGAACACAGTCCTGACTTGCAGGAACCCCGCCATTCATCCCTCCCCTACCGCCCCCCCCCCCCCAAGATCCTGTGTTCAGGGAGGGCAGGGAAGATGGCCTCCAGAGCCTTATTCAGCATCGGTGGGGACCCAGGTCCTTGCTTCACAGCCTCTGAGGCCCCCATACCCGTCATGGTTGTACTTCTGAATCATACAGATGCTCCGGGGATGGAGATGGACGCGCAGGAAATCTGACCAGACTCTGATACTGCTCTCTGTGGGGATAAGTGGTTTGGGGGCTATAGCAGCAGGGAGTGGTGGGGGACCTGAAGGAAGAGCAAAGGAAAGGCACATTCCTTTGTGTTCCAGTTCTGCCCGGTTCCCCATCCCGTAGTTCCTGGTGGAAGTCTCACCTTTGCCATTGGGGATGGGTTTGACCCTCCAGATACCATCATGACTCAGCACTCCCTGGGAGGGATGAGAAACATCTGCATTTAGCTCCAGCCAGTCCAGAAGGAAAAGTTAACTTATTCTCCCTGACTTTGCTGGCCACACCCTACTTTCATTCATGTAGTCACATTTCTTTAAGAAAAAGTGCTTTTTCCTAAAATGCTGCTCCAAGCTATTTAAAATGATCAAAATCCTTTTTTTTTTCCTGTGCCCCAGTGGGGGCAATCTAGTTATAGCGCTGGGTTTAAAAGCTTAGAGCAGAGGCCCTCACCTCTGCACTCAGAAGATCCTGGAGATAAGGATTTGGGGGACAGAGTTCCTCCTTGTGCGTGGTGAGCTTTCCCTGCCTGAAAGAAGACCGATTGGGTGAAGACAGGGACGCTTTCAGTGATTCTCAGGCTTCCTGTGCACATCCCCCTCCTCTGAGGACCGCAGATACCATGCTATCGCTGCATCTAGCTGTCTGTCTCCGTAGAGGCCACCTTCTTGTTTTAGGGAGCTCAGACTGCCTGTGCGAAAGGGAACAGGTGCTGTCAGGTCAAAGCCTAGCCCCTCCCCGCCTTCAGCTAATCTTCTTGGGGTCCCCCTCCAGCCTGCTGCCACCCTCCCTCCAGCCCTTGGCTCTTCCAAGCTTTCTTGAATATTCAGGAGTTGGAAAAAGCCCTTGTCTAGGACAATGTGGGCACCATCCTTCCATTCCCAGCTCAGCCATGAGCTGTGGGGCCCCCCGAGGGGGCCACGATTCACCACCTCGCCGTCCCCAGGAACGAGGAGCCCGTTCCAGAGTCGGTCGTGAACGGAATAAGGCGGTGCCCTCCCGTGGCCAGCGGTGCCCGCGGCTGCTCCTCGCTGGTCCTGCAGCCTGGGGCGGACGCGAGCACCGCACGCCCGGGGGACGCCTGGCGCTGGCTGACCCCGGCCACCGCCTCACCCTTCAGATCCATGAGGATGAGCCTGGGCGTGTACGTCTCCTGGCCGTGCGCCGTCCGGCCGGCCCGGTACAGGACGTCGGGACACAGCTCCCCCGGCGGCTCCGTGGCATCGGTCGGGGCGCACAGCGCAGCATCCTGGGGTGACACGGAGGAAGGCCGGCCTCAGCGGGGACCGCAGGGGCGGGCCGGTAGCGGCGGCCCCTCGGGGGCAGCCGGCCGGGGGCCTCACCTGCTGGTTCCACCAGTGCGCTCCCACGAAACCCGCGAAGTGGCCTAACTGCAGCGTGAGCACCTCCCGCGCCCCGCCCGCCATGCCGCTCGACTCCGCTGGGTCGCGCAGCCGCGACCGGCCACCTCCTCCGCTCGGAGCCGATTGGCTCGTAGCTTTGTGGGCGGGACCTCGCTCCCCGTGCTCTATTGGTGCGCCGACACATCCTTTCCCATCAGATAAGCGATTCGTCCGGCGTCGGCGGCCCCGCCCACACCCCGCGCGGCGTGCGTGGGACGCGCTCGCTGGGGGCGGGGTCCGGCGCGACCGGAAGTAGCGGGGCGTGCAGGGGGCCCTGGCCTGGCCCGGCGGTCGGTTCGCGTCGAGGCCGCGGTCTCTCCTCAGCGGCCGCTGCTGCTTGGCCGACGGCGCCTCAGGAGACACACACACCCCTGGCCCGGGGACTAGGCGCCGCTCTTCCCGCGCCGGTCCCGGCCCTCCTGGCTTCCGACCGTGAGGACTCTGCTGGCTCCGTGTCACCTTACGGGAATGAGGCGCCCTACGCGGTCCTTTGTCGACGTTGGCGGAGAAACTCTTTCCCCGGCCCTGCGTGTACTTGCAGCCCCTTCCGCGGCCTCGTTGTGCGGGGGCTCCGCTGACTCGGGGACCGGGGTCGCTCCAGCGTGCGGCCGGCGGGCGCTGCGCTGAGCCTTCCTGTGCTCCGGCGCCCGCGCTCCCCGCGGCGGGGTGAGGGCTCGGGGCGGGCGCGGGGTCCCGGGGCAGCCGCGCCCCCCTCGGCGGGGTGAGGGCCCGGGGCGGGCGCGGGGTCCCGGGGCAGCCGCGCCCCCCTCGGCGGGGTGAGGGCCCGGGGCGGGCGCGGGGTCCCGGGGCGGGCGCGGGGTCCCGGGGCAGCCGCGCCCCCCTCGGCGGGGTGAGGGCCCGGGGCGGGCGCGGGGTCCCGGGGCAGCCGCGCCCCCCTCGGCGGGGTGAGGGCCCGGGGCGGACGCGGGGTCCCGGGGCAGCCGCGCTCCCCGCGGCGGGGTGAGGGCCCGGGGCGGGCGCGGGGTCCCGGGGCAGCCGCGCCCCCCTCGGCGGGGGTGAGGGCCCGGGGCGGGCGCGGGGTCCCGGGGCAGCCGCGCCCCCCTCGGCGGGGTGAGGGCCCGGGGCGGGCGCGGGGTCCCGGGGCGGGCGCGGGGTCCCGGGGCAGCCGCGCCCCCCTCGGCGGGGTGAGGGCCCGGGGCGGGCGCGGGGTCCCGGGGCAGCCGCGCCCCCCTCGGCGGGGTGAGGGCCCGGGGCGGGCGCGGGGTCCCGGGGCAGCCGCGCCCCCCTCGGCGGGGTGAGGGCCCGGGGCGGGCGCGGGGTCCCGGGGCAGCCGCGCCCCCCTCGGCGGGGTGAGGGCCCGGGGCGGGCGCGGGGTCCCGGGGCAGCCGCGCCCCCCTCGGCGGGGTGAGGGCCCGGGGCGGGCGCGGGGTCCCGGGGCGGGCGCGGGGTCCCGGGGCAGCCGCGCCCCCCTCGGCGGGGTGAGGGCCCGGGGCGGGCGCGGGGTCCCGGGGCAGCCGCGCCCCCCTCGGCGGGGTGAGGGCCCGGGGCGGACGCGGGGTCCCGGGGCAGCCGCGCTCCCCGCGGCGGGGTGAGGGCCCGGGGCGGGCGCGGGGTCCCGGGGCAGCCGCGCTCCCCTCGGCGGGGTGAGGGCCCGGGGCGGGCGCGGGGTCCCGGGGCAGCCGCGCTCCCCTCGGCGGGGTGAGGGCCCGGGGCGGGCGCGGGGTCCCGGGGCAGCCGCGCCCCCCTCGGCGGGGTGAGGGCCCGGGGCGGACGCGGGGTCCCGGGGCAGCCGCGCTCCCCGCGGCGGGGTGAGGGCCCGGGGCGGGCGCGGGGTCCCGGGGCAGCCGCGCTCCCCGCGGCGGGGTGAGGGCCCGGGGCGGGCGCGGGGTCCCGGGGCAGCCGCGCTCCCCTCGGCGGGGTGAGGGCCCGGGGCGGGCGCGGGGTCCCGGGGCAGCCGCGCTCCCCTCGGCGGGGTGAGGGCCCGGGGCGGGCGCGGGGTCCCGGGGCAGCCGCGCCCCCCTCGGCGGGGTGAGGGCCCGGGGCGGACGCGGGGTCCCGGGGCAGCCGCGCTCCCCGCGGCGGGGTGAGGGCCCGGGGCGGGCGCGGGGGCCAGACGGCTCGGCGGGGGCTGCGTCGGGAGCGGCCGCGTGCGGTCAGAAGGCTGTGCTCGGACTTCGTAAACAGCACAAACGGTCTTCTCAAACTCATTACCAGCAGCGGAGGGCGGTTTGAGTTGGTGCCCCACAAGCTCTAAAAATTGTAGTCCTCCTCACTGGCGTTAATTACGAGGTTGAGAACTCTTTTTCATACGTTTATGAGCCATTTGGATATCCCTTTGTTGTGACCTGCACGTTCAACTCTCTTGGCCATGTTCTTTTGGGTTGTCTCGCTGATTTGTAGGAGTAAGTGCTTTACTGGGGATGCAAGCCCTTTGTCAGTTTTATGTGTTGAAAATACTGTCCTGTCACTCTGGTTGCCTCTTCGTTCCCTTAAGGGAGTTTTTTAGGAGAATAGAAGTTTGCTGTTTTGTGTTTTTAAATGTAGTCACATTTATGGACCTTTTCAAATATTACGAATGCTGTTTATGTTATGTCCTGGGCTCTTGCTCCTGTCTGTTCCAATTTCACAGGATATTTAAAAAGTGTCTTAGAGTCCCCAAGGAGACTAAAAAAGGGGAGGGTGTTAGGGGTGACAGAACAGCAGCTAATAAATGTAGAAGGATGGACAGAATTTAGATTGCAGCCATCAGTTTAACAGTTTATTCAGATGAGGATCATCAGTGGATGTTAAAACCTCTGGGTGATAATTTATGGGAAAACGGGATGGTTTCAGGATTTCAAAGTAACACTCTACTTGTTCATGACATTGAGAAAGCTCCTTTTACAATGATGGATGCCAGAATTAACCAAGTGATCAAATTTAGCATCACCAGAGTGAAACAAACTGCAGTGATGTCAAGTGTGGTAGATAGAAAGCATCAGCTGTGTGTCGTGTTTGCCAAAAGCATTTAACCTGTATCTGAAGGGAACAATGAGACAAATCCAGAATGTGGACAGTCTGTAAAATAACGGGCCTGGCATTTTCAAAAATGTCAAATAACAGAAAAACCAGAGGGTCTACTGAAGCTAAGAGGACACTAAAGAGATAGTTCAGCGTAAATGTAATTTGTGAACTTTGATTGGAACCTGGATGGGAGCGGGGGTGGGGTGGGGCAGCCATTGGGATAACTGGAGAAATTTAAAATTAGAGCACATTAAAAGAAAAAAGAAAAAGTAGAGCACATATTAGAGTATATTATGTCCATGATGGGTTTCTTTGATTGGTTAATGATATCCTGGGTGTGTAGAAGATCTTATTCCTAGGAGAAACGTGATAAAAGACGTGTCTGCAGTTTACTTTCAAAGGATGACACAAAGGAAATAAATATGTAGAAAGATAGAACCAGTGTGACAAAAGGTTAACAGTTGAATCTAGGTGAAGGTTATATGGGATTCTTTTGTACAGCTCTCTGCATTCCTGTAGGTTTGACAGTTTTCAAAATAGTGTAAAAGGTGAGAGTAAGTCTTGTCTATTCTGGGCTTTTTTATGGCCACATATAATATTTAGAATTAGTTTGTCAAGTTGCACAGAAAAATTTAAAAATCTCTAGGTGTTTTGATTGGGATAGCCTTGCATCTCTGTAGATCGTTTTGGGGAGAATTGACATCTTTACGGTAGTCACTTTTCTAGTTTTTTTTTTTTTAAGATTTTATTTATTTATATGACAGAGAGAAACAGCGAGAACAGGAACACAAGCAGGGGGAGTGGGAGAGGGAGAAGCAGGCTTCCCGCTGAGCAGGGAGCCCGATGTAGGACTTGATCCCAGGACCCTGGGATCATGACCTGAGCCGAAGGCAGACGCTTAACGACTGAGCCACCCAGGCGCCCTCACTTTTCTAGTTTATATTCTACCATTGATTGAGGCCTTTTAAGTTTTCTCCAATAATATTTTATAGTTTTATTTATAAACATCATATACATACCTTGTTACATTTGTTTTATCTATTTCTGTTGCTATTGTAAATGAAATCTTTAAAATTTTATTTTCTGTTGTTACGGAGAAATGCAGCTGAGGTGTGTACTGACATATGCAGCAACACTGCTGTGCTCACTTAGTAATTTTAATAATTTATCTGTAGACTCTCGGATTTCTACACCATCATATCCACAAATAATGATGACTGTATTTATCCCTTTCCAAATCTTATATATAACATTTTGTTTTCCTCATCTCAGTGTATTGACTAGGAAGAATGGTGTGGAATCAAATGTCTTGTTCCCCGCCCCCCCCCCACCCTCCCCATCTCAAGGGGAAGCTGTAACCCTTCACTTCTGAGTCTCATGTGGACTGAAGAAAATTTTTTTTTTTTTGAAGATTTTATTTATTTATTTGACAGAGAGACAGTGAGAGAGGGAACACAAGCAGGGGGAGTGGGAGAGGGAGAAGCAGGCTTCCCGCGGAGCAGGGAGCCCGATGCAGGGCTGGATCCTAGGACCCTGGGATCATGACCTGAGCCAAAGGCAGACACTTAAGGACTGAGCCACCCAGGCGCCCCTGACGTGGACTGAAGAATTTTTGTCGGTACTCTCTGTTGTCTTGTGGGAAGTTTTCTTCTTCTTTTTTTTTTTTTTTTTTAAGATTTTTATTTATTTATTGAGAGAGAGAGAGAGAGAGCATGAGAGGGAGGAGGGTCAGAGAGAGAAGCAGACCCCCCGCTGAGCAGGGAGCCCGATGTGGGGCTCGATCCCAGGACCCCGGGATCATGACCAGAACCAAAGGCAGATGCCCAACTGACTGAGCCACCCAGGTGCCCCTAAGAGTTCTGTTCACAAATGGATTTGGAATTGAAGAAAACTTTCTCTGAATGAAGGTGATAATTTTATTCTTCCTTTGTTTCGCTAATGGGATAAATTATAGTTTTTTCCTTTTTTATTGGAGTATTGTTAACATAGGTGTTATATTTCACATGTACATAGGTGTTATATTAGTTTCACATGTACAATGATTCAACAGTTCTGTAAATTTCTCAGTGCTCATCAAGATAAGTGTATTCTTACATAGTTTGATTTTTTTTAAAAATAATATTTTTATTT